GGGCTTTCTTGGACTGTGAGGTCTCAGTCTCTGATAGAGGACATTTGCAAACCGAGGTGTACCGCAAACCCGCCCACACAGACCAGTATTTGCAGTTTGACTCCCATCACCCTTTGGAGCACAAGTTAGGAGTCATCAGGACTCTGTATCACAGAGCAGACAGCATCCCCACTAACTCAGGAGCCAGGCAGAAGGAGAAATCCCACACAAGACAGGCTCTAGAGCAATGTGGATATCCTAACTGGGCCTTCCTGAAAGCAGAGAAGAAACCCAAACAAGACTCCAGTCAGCCATCAGGTGAAAAAGAGGAACCCAGACCCAGACCATTGTGAATACTAAACAGCCATCAGTGTGCTAATGATCCATTGCTAGGCTGATGGTCCTTCTTGAGCATGTGATCAGCTGATTTTGGTTGTCAGCAGCAAACTGGTTGATCCACTCTGAGAAGGTGCTATTTAAGAGACTGAGCTGAAAACAGCTCCTCAGACTGAGGAAGTCTCTTGGATGAGAGACGAAACGTTTCTATATTTTTTTGCTTTTTTTTTTTTTTTTTTTTATGTCCAGAGGACCAGATTGAACTTTTTTGGATTTTTCTACCTGGATTATTGAGCATGCATCAGGATATGTATGTGAATGTTTCTGTAAAGTGCCCTGAGACAACTTTGTTGTGATTTGGCGCTATATAAATAAACTGAATTGAATTGAATTGAACTGAGTCCTCCCAGAACAGCTGGAAGAGATGGCTGTGGAAAGAGACGTCTGGACTTCCCTGCTCAAGCGAGACCGTACTTCAAAACAAGTGGAAGATAATGGATGGATGGATGGATGGATGGATGGATGGATGGATGGTATCAAGATGCAGAAAAGGTCCCAGGTCATGATCAAGGAGCCCTAATGGGGTCCTGGAGCCAACTAGCTAGGCAAGGGGAAACTCCAGGATGAATACACCATTAAAGAAGCATCAAAGCAGACTTTTAAAAAAGTTTGCATAAGGCTTTTTGACTTTTGGTTGAACAGTTTTTATACACTCATTGAAGTTGGACACATTATGGGATGGACTGTCCATAAACTTTCTCTCGTCCGGTCCATAACTTCTGATCAGCTCAAGATAACTTAAGGAAATGTCATACACCTGCATCATCACTAGACGGAGTGTCATATACACATTCTATCAACCAAGCTCCAAGGTCAAGGTCACAAATCAAAGTAAAAGGTTATACAAGACTTTGCTTGTCTTGGCCATTGCTATAGATGTCTGTATAATAGTTTGTCCATGGGCATCTAATATGCTGTATGTGGAGTAAATATGGATAAATATAAAATAAATATAAATATTTTTCCTGAAAATCTCCACTCTGAGACCTAGTTTGAGAGAATGAGGGCTGCGACTGGATGCTATGTCATTCAAGTAACAAATTTCATAGTGAGGATGGATGATAGGCTGACGTCAATTTTTTTTTATGCCATGCGATCTACCCATAATGCCTTTGCGATTGACCGGTAGATCACGATTGACGTATTGGGCACCCCTGTCTTAGTGTATATCTTAGATCCATATATACTGTTTCTTTTTATACTTCATATTTTTGCTATTTTTGGGTGTAACTAGGACCCAGAGTACATACTTTCGTTCCACCTCATGCATCACGTGATGCTAATGACAATAAACTTGAAGTTGAACTTGAACTTTATGACCAGTGCCCTACTTGTAAACCTACTGTGGGACTAGATATACCGTGGATCTGATTAGCTTAGCTTTATGGTTGCTAACAGCTGTGCTAAATAAACGAGCCCTGTTCCACTCGCTGTTTTCTTAAATTCTTGGGGGTGGACAAAGCTAAAAAAAAATTCAGCCATTATATCAGTTATTGGCAGCCGCCTTCCCCTCCCTATACTGGTCTTGGCAATAACCAAAATTTCCATATCAGTCGGGCTCTTGTTTAATGGTCTCAGGATTCATAATTTGCTATTTGCAGATGATGTGGTCATGTTAGGGTCATTGTGCCATGATCTTCAGCTCTCTCTGGAGCGGTTTACAACCAAGTGTGAAGTTGCTAAGATGAGAATCAGTACCTCAAATAGCCATGGTCTTCAGTCAGAAATAGGTGGACTGCACTCTCTGGGATGGGAGGGAGGTTCTTCCTCAAGTGGTGGAGTTCAAATATGTCTGGGTTTTGTTCATGAATGAAGGAAGAATGGAGCATGAGATCGACAGAAGGATGATGCAGCTTTACTTTATGGACTCTGTGAGGATCCAGTGTGGTGAAAAGTGAGCTGAGCTATAAGGCAAAGCTCTCTGTTTAGAGGTCAGTCTACATTTCCTAACCTCACCTATGGTCACAAACTCTGGGAGCTCTGGACCGAAAGAACAAGATTGTAGATACAAGCAGTCAAAAAGAGTTTTCTATGCAGGGTAGCTGGACTCTTCCTTAAAGAAAGTGTGAGAAGATCATACAAAGAAAACCTGTAAACCTTCCCATGGGAAAAAAAAACACCTCTCAATATCCAGACAAGTATCCAATGAAACAGCTGATGACCAACCTTTTTCCTCACAATTTGAACCTCCATATCCTGGACAGCAGCGCCAGATGAGAGAGGTGACGACCTTCTGTTTATGTCTGTTGGTCAACTGTGTCAACAGCCTGTATCTGTGTGTATAAAGAAACAGAATAAAAAATAAACAAATATTTGCACTCTGTAGCTTCACTGTTTTGTCACAAAAACCTAACCAAAACACTGAAATGATGAAGTAAAACAGAACTCAGTCAAAAATGTCTGTATTCCATTATTCAGAAGGAAATATTTTTGATTATTTGTCATGGAATTATGACCTAAACAAGCATATATGTAGATGTGTAAATAATAAATAAACAAATAAATAAATACATTTATAAATCCATCCATCCATCCATTATGCCACTTCTTCTTTTTCGGGTAACTAGTATCCATGTCCAGCTATCACTGAGTGAGAGGCAGGGGACACTCTGGACAGGTCTCCGGTCGATCACAGGGACACCTGGACAGGTCTCCAGTCCATCATATGGACACCTGGACAGGTCTCTAGTCCATTACATGGACACCTGAACAGGTCTCCAGTCCATCAAATTGACACCTGGACAGGTCTCCAGTCCATCACAAGGACACATAGAGAAACTACATCCAGAAAGGTCCTCAGCGACCTTCTCGCTGAGAGTCAACAGCTCTACCAATGGAGCCATCATGCTGCCATATAGGGGTCGAGACGAGAAGAAGTAGAGCAGCTGACTTTGGACCAGAAAGTCGCAAGTTCAACTCCCCACCATGCCCACATGTCGTGGTGTCCTTGAGCAAGACACCCAATCCCTAACTGCTCCCCCGGCACTTTCATAGCTGCCCACTGCTCCACCTGAGTGAAATTCACATGTGATGGGTTAAATGCAGAGAACTAATTTCGTCATTGTATAGAAATATACAATGATGATAACACAAAGCACATGCATGTGTGTGTGTGTGTGTGGGGGGGGGGGGGAGATATCCAATTTGCCCTATTTCAAGTCCAAGTATCTGTATTGTCACTCACATCAAATTTGGTACATGAGGTGGAACGACATTGTGTACTCACATTACATTTGTCCACTTCATTTCCATTTCAGGTCCTCTACAAGAGTGCTGGGAATTTTTAAGGTTCTATTCAGTATATTAGCTGTTCCTAGGACTTCAGTATTCTGGACAGAGATGTCTGAGGTTGTTCCTGGGATCTGTTGAAGTCACTCTTTCAGTTTGGGGGTCACAGCACCAAGCAGTAACCACTGGAACTGCTGACACCTTGACTCTCCACCACTTTTGTATTGCCTCTTTCAGTTCTTGTTATTTCTCCAGCTGCTCCTTTCTTCCTGATGTTACAATCACTTGGGATTGCTACATCTATTCCCACTGCCTTCTTATCTTGCTCGTCAATCAGCACAACGTCCGGTTGGTTATCCTTCACATATGTTTGTTGATCTGGATCTAGAAGTCCCACAGTATCTCAGCCCTGCCATTCTTCACCAGCCTTGATGGCATCTCTCACTTTGATTGTGGGATCTCCAGTCCATACTCTGCACAGATCTTCCTGTATATTATTCCGGCCTCTTGGTTACAGTGTTCTATGTATGCTTTGCCTGCCTGAATCTTACACCCTGCTGTTATGTGTTGGATGGTATCAGGGTCTCAACAGTACCTTTGCACAACCTGCATCTTGGGTCTTGTCTGGTATGGTAGACCCCAGTCTCTATTGCTCTTGTGCTGAGGGCCTTTTCTTGTGCTGCTATGATTAGTGCCTCTGTACTGTCCTTCAGTTTAGCCCTCTCCAGCCACTGGTAGGATTTGTTGATATCAGTGACTTCCTCAATCTGCTGGTGGTGAATGCCGTGCAGGGGCTTATCATTCCATGATGGTTCCTCTTGTTTCGCCTCTTCCACATTGGGTTTCTGCTGCTGCCTGAGACATTCATTCATCAGTTCATCATCTGGGGCTTTGATCCTGGTGTACTCTAGGATCTTAGTTGTTTCATCTTGTATAGTGGCTCTTATGGTCACTAGACGTCTGCCTCTATCCATTCTCTGAATATATAGTCTTAGGTTGCACGACTTGGGGTAAAACCCTCCATGCAGTGTGAGGAGATACTGAGTCTTGATTTCAGTGACTTGGCCAGACTGAGATGATTCAGCCATGTCCAGAGTAGGGGCAGTTGGTATATTGAAGGATGTTAGAAATGCAGCTATCAGGAAAACGACAAAGAGGATATATATGGTTGCATTTACAGAGGACATGGAGGTACTTGGAGTGAAGACAGAGATGCGGGGAACAGAGTGAGGTGGAGGAGGATGAGTCGTTGTGGCGACCCCAGAAGAGGAAAGAGACGAAAGATTCTTTTTTTCCCATATCATGCTTAAATTGATCGTGTCCTTGACTTAAACCTTTTGAGTTATGTTTGCAGTTGAAAATTTTATAAAAATGAGATTAGAGTTCTGAACCTACTTCTGGGTTTCTGGTACTCACATGATCCTCTGGCAGCCCAGTGACCCATCAGGACATGGACTCTGATCCTTCACCACTTGTTTCTTTGTTCCAAATGGCACCACCACTGTCTGCACATGACTGTGCACAAAGGTACACCAGTTCCTGCACATCGACACACCATTTGTCAGTGGTTAGCTCCTGAACTTCTCATTTTGAAGTAGACCCTTTATATATATATATATATATATA